CACTATCTCTGTAAGTGTAAAAAAGACGGTGTCCTTGTTCTGTTCTGCTTTCTGGAACTTTAGCCACAGTGGAAGATATTTGGGGTGCTGAGTTTAAATTTCATAGTAAGCTATTGCATTTATTTCTTTTAAAAAACCCTGTAATTCAGCTAAAAACTTGAAAATTAGGAGCCCTGACTAGGATCCCTAGATCTGATACAATACTCCTTTGGAAGTTTCTGCAGAGGAGAACCTCTAAGACTTCTGTTAATCCTCCTTAGCCAGTGAAGACTAAGATTTTGAACAACATATTTACCCTTTGACAAAAAGTGCAGAGAAGTCAAGTGGCAAGTAGTTTATATTACAGCTAAACAAATATATATCTCAAAATTATCTGGAAAAAAGACTGGTGCATGTATCTCTGGATAGGGGCATTTCCAGCACTCTTTGAATTATAATGACACAAATATTTCTTCTCCTGAACAGTCTACTGCTTAAAAGTCATTTCTTAAAAGTCTCAATGAAATGTATGTACTCCACCCACCCTATCATCTGCCCAGGAAAAGGGGGGTCTTATTTTATATTTCTAGGATTGTAATTACATTAACTGAAGACAATTGCATTAGGGAGGGATTATTTGATTAAAAAAAGCATAATGCTCTCATGACATCATCATAATGTTGTTTGTCTCATAAAATGGTTTTTCTTCTAGGTACCGGTTATTCCTACACACCTTTTGCTGATTAATGTCCTAGGATGTATAAGGGTTATACTTTGATTTAGTTACTCACCCAGTTCCGTGAAAAGGTATCCACAGAAGCTCTAGTAATCCAGCATGCTGAAGACTGGCAGGACAAAGAACTTCTAAAGATAAATAAGAAAAATAAGCCAAATTACTTTTTTACTATCTTATTACTAAGAAGAAACTAGTAGAGATTAATTTTCTGATTCTGTTGGCGACCTGTTTTATGATATTAAGCAGATTTGTTTATTTTAAGAATTCAGTTTTCCATTTTTACCCTGTGGTTGGCAAGGGTTTACCCATATAATATAACATAACTTATCACGTGGGAATCTTCCAGCAACTTTCATTTGATTACTTTATATAAGGAAATTTACGTGAAGAAATGTATATGAAGAAATTTAATCCTGCATATAACCTTATAAAGCCTTGGTGATAAAATATAAATACATACTGAAATCTTTTTTTTACTTCAAGCAAAGTAAAAACAGTAAGTGCATTTTGAAAACAGAGACATAAACCTTTAAGCATTGAAGATCTGATCAACAGCAAAGGTCTAGTGACTGATAAGAACTGCCTTTATTTTGAAATAACTTCAAAGAGATTAAATTAATCAGTAAAGCAGTTCCACAAGGTGTGAACATTGCCATTAGTTATTGCTAAAAGTACAACAAAAATCACATGTTAAAGTGTTTAACTTCTTCATGTATCAGATAACATCCATTATCAGTGTAAACTGGCATCAATTTTCCACGTGCATGTACTGATTTTGTGTGTTGCTGAAGGTGATATAGCCTGATCAAAAATAGATAAATCTTCCCAAACTTTTGAAATGGTTTCCCTGCTCTTGTGCAATGAGATGTACCCTAATCCTAGAAAGATGGACGAAGTAGGATCACTCAGTGCAATTTTTGCCTTTATATATTTAACGCCCCCACCTCCATAGTTCTTACTTGTAGCAACTCCTAAGCTGGCATTTCCAGAAAAAAAAGGCAGGTTCTGTGCACATAGAGGGTAGAAGATGTCTTTTTATATGTGTAGAGACGTGTTTGAGTCTCCATTCCGATTGCCAATCCATTGCAGCTCAGAAGTACCTCATTACTCAAGCTAAAGGCTGGAGGGCCAAACAGCTCTCGCTGTTGGAGACACATGTAAAAAAAAAAGTCAGTGGGATTTACCAGGCTTGCTATGTTACATTCATAGGCAACTGTGGGGTTTTTTACAGAATTGGATTTTCCCAGAGCTTATTCTTTTTGGAATATTTATCTCCTCCATAATGTCCTTAGAACTGAGGATAAGGACATATTTGTAGGTCACCAGTTGCTTGTTCGTAAGAATTCTACTTTGAATACTGATCTACAATATTTTATTACCATGAAATTACTGGGCCAAATCCTCAAAGAAGATGCAAATTATTAAAGTTTGGGTTAGTTTAACTAATGTAGATTGGTATACTTTTACTAACTATAGAGGAGCAGCAGCAAGAGATCTGACCCACAATAAAACCCTTGACTCTATTCCTTTTGTTTTGGTTGTAAAAGTAGAGGGTTTTTTGGACATACCTACATTACTTGTAATAAGCTGATGAGAAAACTGAAAATAAATCAACCTCTTACTCTATTGCAGTCTTGATTTTCTTTCTTTAGACTGTTTTCTAGTGTTGTTGATGTTTGCTGGAGATCTGGTGATGCTCCAGTAGTTATGATTAATACTTGTAAGTGTGACAGGTTAAAGCTGAGAGTATTGATAGAGTACATTTATACTTTTCAAATTCTACTAAAATGAACAGTCCTAGCAGGAGGTAGTATTTTTTGTGTTCTGGAAAAATACCAGTCAGCAGGGGTTTATCATCTCTGTTAAAACAACATATTTAGGTTAGTTTTGATTTAATTATTCTAAAGATTTCTTCTCACTTAAAACATTTATGTGAATGTGAAAGTAGAGGACAAGTTTATATTGTTTCCCCCTTTTAAGCGTGTACTTTAATTCTGGAGAGAAATCAAGCATGGCATGAAAATAAAATAGAAATAGTAACACTGAGAATAAAACATTCAAAATAGGATATCTAGCTTTTGAAAAAAAGCCATTAATAAAATGCAAAAATTGTCAATTTTTAGCTTCCCTGAAAACTACATATTGAATTAAACCCTGTATTTCCTGTTTTAGAGAAACAAGTAGTTACTGTTTTAGTCAATTAGTAAGGAAAACCTCTAGGGAATATATATTCTTACACTACTTTGTTGTTCATTAGAGAGTGAAACATAAATATAAATATAACCTTTCTTAGTCTCTGTTAGTAAGCTCTGTTTAGAAGTGCAAGGAGAACACAAAGCTGTCTGGCCTATTAGAGTAGAAATGGGAACTTCAAGTTGGGGGAAACAGCACTGCATCGATCCATGCAAATGAAAGCTTAATTGTCTGAAGTCCCCTCTTCTTTTTTATGTGGGTCATTTACAGTATTGCATAAAATGCTGATAATTTCTTAAATATTTAAGGCAGTAATTGTAGCTAGATGGGCCTTTAATTTCTTTCTTCACCTGTGGCTGTCGCGATTATTTCCATCAAAGTTTCTCCCTTTTTCATATTTCTCTGGAAACCTCTTGATCTCATTGCATTAGTTGTCTCCCTCCCTCGGTTAAATTCTTCATGTATTCCTCTCTGATACTAATTTGCTCCTCTGGTTCAATGTATAGTCAAGAGAGTAATTTATTCATCTTCAACAGCACCACTGAAATCACAGAAGTACTTGATGCCCTGATTTATTAAGGCACTTGAGGTCAGTGCCTTAAGCATGTGCTAAAAATGAAGCAAATGCCAGCATGACCTCCAAAGGATTAGTCACCTGCATAATGGCTTCCAGGGTCCTTAAAAATATGAACTTGGGGAACAGATTTGCTACTGGTGTAAGGTTAGTGCAGCTGTACTGGAAAGCCAAATGATGCTGACAATACTTTCAGTGGAATTATAACGAGTCGACACTAAGCCTTTCCCTTTTTTTTTGTCTTGTGCCATGCTGATACATGCCAAAAAATGAAAATCAAAACTTGGAAAATTTTTTTCATTGTTTTAATTGTTTAATTGTTCATATGCCACTTAGTGCTCAACAGGACTATTGGCATCTCAATAAAGAACTATATTGCTACAGCAGATCTTTTTTCTTTTGCCATTTGATTTTTGTGGAGTCATTTTGTCGTGCTCCTTCACATTTGCTTAATAACAGGACATCTGTCATGTCACTACTAATGAAAATAGCAATTGCAAATGGGATGAGACAAAACTTAGATACCCTAGATTTGCAGGTTAAGGTGTTTTGTATTAGGAAACTATGGATAAAAAAAGAATTTGTGGAAATTCGGAAACTGGGAATTTTTCTCACTTTTTTTTACTTCTTCCTAAGGAAAAAAAATGTGTTGTATAGAGATGTTCCTTTCTTTTTGATCTTTTTAGTTCTTTATAATAGGTGTCCCTTAAACTCCTATGTTGACTATGAGAGTATATCCTTTCAAGCCAGCTGGCAAAATTTTAAAAGTTAAATATCTGCTTCAATTGCTTTATTCTACATAAATTCACCTTAGCTTTATTGTGTATCTTTTTGCAATTAAAACTATAAAACCAATCCCATCATATAGAACAGATTGCAGACTTTTCTGTGGTGCTTTATGCAGATTTTTGAAACGTTCTCTTTGCAAATTCTATTTAAAAAATGTTCTGGTTTAGCGGCAGCATTATTGCATTTCAGAAATAATATCCTGTAAAATGTCTGTAACAAGGTATTTTATCTGAAAGCCCATTGTAGCTTTCTTATTATGAGTTTCAAGCTTCTGCAACAATAAGAGGGTTCTTATTCAAATGTATACTATTGCATTCATTCCTCTAATAGCAGCATTCCATCATATCAACCTGAAAATAGACAAACAATTGCATAGAGTACTTGTTATTCATCCTCAATATATTTTATTTCATTGCTAGATATCAGACTTTGGAATAGTCATATGGAGTATTTGCATTAAACACAGGAATAAAAAAGTTATTTCCTCTGAGTATACATATGCTTTCTATCTGTATTTCCTAGGGATATAAAAAGTTACTGGTTTAGTTACACTGGTCATTTTTATTACCTTCCTAAAGACAATGGAAATTGCACAAGGCTCCATATGAAACTGTCTCCGAGTGTAAATTAAATCTATGGTTTAGTCTGTTGTAAATAGAGAAGAATGTACTCTTAGATAATAAATCTTTTTTGTGTATATCAACAAGTTGTCTATTTTTTTCTTCCTAGATACACCTTTAGTTAAAATCATTTCTTCCAATTCATGGCCTGAAGAAGGACAAACTATAATTTTGACTTGTGAATCCAAAGGAAAACCAGTGTAAGTGATTTAACAAGTAATATGTTTTTTGTTATTTTACTTATTCTGCTGTGACTGCAATCCTCAACTGCAGAAATCGTCTGATTTTGTCTCATCCTGGGGTGTAAAGTAATCTCTGGTATAGAAAACCCCTTGAAGCCTGTCTTCATTAAGTGCCTATAGAGGATTGGTCTTTTACTTTGTCATCTATTTTAGTTTTTTAGGAAGAATTCCAGCTGTGAGATACTTCTTTTTTTTTTTCTGGTCAGGTATATCAACCTGAAAGGAGTGCAGGCTTAATCAGTCACTGTTTACATCATTTAACTGATGATAGAAGAGAAAATGTCTCATGAAAATCTTCCTGCATCAGCTGGCCTCAGAGAAAATATATTAAACTTGCTGGATGCTTTGGCTGTCATTTACAGGGGAATTTGAAGTTTAATGATATGTGCAAGTTGGCTGCTTGTTTCTGCCAGAATTTGGAAAGATGTAGCCTGCTTTAAGAATATAAATTGTTTTACTCGAAAATTAACATCTCTGCCATAAATATCTTCAAAGACAGATCTTCAAAGACTAGCCCTTGTACAGAATCTACTATTTAAATAGACTTCACTCCTGAAAACTGTATCTTCTCAGAAGAGCTGTTATATAGTTATTCATAAATTTACATAAATAATTCAATTGCTTAATATTAAGTTAATATGCATCAAGTTTCTTAAATATTGACCTTCTGCTCAAAAGATCAATATAAAGTGGGGTGATGATACACAGCTTTAGAAAGGTCTTGAAAATGGTAATGCAGTAATACTTTGGGTCTAGAAAAGGTGCAAATTGCATGACAAAAATCATGTCACTTACGGCTGAATTTCTCCCTGGTGTCAATTTAGTGACTTTATGGAATTGCTTTACATAGGAGCCTGAAGTCAGATTTAGGTCAAATCAGGCATTTAAGTCCAAAATTTCTACTTTGAAAAGCTCTTCTGAGTTATGTCTGTCATCATTTAAACTCCATAAGTACTTTTCTTTTTTTATATATTATACGTCTGCATCATTTTAAAGCAACTCCTCCATCTAGATCTTGACTGGGCTGAGCAACTCAGCATCTAGATCAGGCTTCTACCCTGCTTGAGACCAAAACACTGGTTTAGTCTGACATGATTAGTCCAATGAGTCTTAAATGATGCTCAATGTAATTGGTTTTCTGCTTACCTATGTAGTTTTGACATAGTGTGTGTTTCTGAGATAGACACCTCTGCAGGTAACACAAAAATCAGTTGTGAGACGCCTATTGCTTTTATAAGAAGCTTGAAGGAGAAGGAATTACCCATTTACCTAATACACTTTGAGCATTCCCCTAGGTAACACAAGGTACAGAGTCTGCTTCCCCAGTATTTTCAAAATCAGCACAAGATGTGCAAGTGCTTAATTTTAGGAAAAAGGTCAGCTCTGATTGCCCTGAGGGCACTGTTGGCTAGGTGATATTCAGGATTTTTCCTGTCTCGGTGTTTTCCTCTTGACTTAACAGGTGACAACTACATGAAAGTCCTCTCTTTGGCTTATAGACTTCAGGCATTCTAGCCCCAGGTGTTTGATTTTCACTATTCATCTAGCATTCCCTGAAGGGAAAAAGATTAGAAGTAAGGCAGTCATTATGTATTTTTATATTTTTAATTACCTGTTGTTTGTTGTTGGGAGGAGCAGTTTGGCCCTTGAAATTTGGAGTCTGTTTAAATAATGAAGTGTTCATTTCTTCTTTCTGTTCTTCTTTAGTTTTGTGGGACAGACAGATAGATTCGACCTGTATGTTATCGGAACGTTGGGAGGAAGGAGAAATGGATGTATAATAGCAACTGGGGGTTCTAGTCCTCCAGTGATTTCACCTGAGTATTGCAACAAGTAGGCATGATGCTTCTCAGTTTCAGAGTGTGAGGAATCATTTCAACTGTCTTCAAACAGCTGCACAGTAGAAATTTACATTTGAGCAGCTCTTTTCAGGCTTCCCTTTGGATTCAGTGGAGAGATTTAGGCACTGTTATGACATGGCTGTTCTGCTGTACACTAGACAATTGCAGAAGAGCCAGACTGAGCCAGACCTCTACTACTTCCTTTCCACCGAACACATGGAGTTTAGACACTTAATTCAGTCAGATATCTGTATGTTGGAATACCAAAAGTAGATGTCTAAATGGAGACTTATAAAATTTTATATCTGTGTTTAATTTTGGTAAGATGCATCTTGCCTTTTGCCTACAGCTTATTCGTTCACTACTTCCCATGGGCAGTCAGGTGTTCAGCCACCTCCAGGAAAGCAGGGCTCTGTCACACATAATGGTGACTTGGGAAGAGAAAACACCATCAACCCAAATGCCCCCCACTTTCTCCTTCTTCTCCAGCTTTATATACTGAGCATTAATGTCATATGGTCTGGGATATCCCTCTGGTCAGTTGGGGTCAGCTCCTTGTGCTCCCCCAGCCCATTCACTGTTAGGGTGGGATGAGAGGCAGAAAAGGCCTTGGCTCTGTGCAAACCCTGCTCAGCAGTAAGGAAAACATCCCTGCATTATCAGCACTGTTTTCAGCACAAATTCAAAACACAGCCCCATACTAGGTAGCATGAAGAAAACTAAATCTATCCCAGCCAAACCCTGCACGCTCTGTTAATAAAAGAGACAATTAATATTTCAGATAGTAGATTCTCTTGCAGACCCCTCTATTTGTTAGTCATTTCTGAAAGCAGTAAAAAAACTGTAGAAGTGTTATGTTTTACCTTGACATGCACACATAATATTATAGGTATACTTTATACCACTAGGAGGCTCTTGTTAAAGCATAGTAATTAAGATGGAGCTTCAATTGAGGTATTTACTGACTTATTAATTTTTTAAAAATAAAACTCTTTTGTATCCTTAATAGATTCAAATGCAAACCTCACATGTGGTTTTGAAAGGGCAGCCAAATAAAAACTTCACATCGGAGAATTATCAAGGCAGGGCACCTGTGTGTGGCAGCCTTTGGGGCACAAATATTTTGCCAATAAATGCACCTCTAATTGTCCCTGCCACAGGAACTGCCAACATCAGCTGCTCTATATTGCTTCATTAGGTCATTCTTTCAGGGAGCAGAGCCAGTAATAAATAGGCATCCTCCTGGGAGCAGCTTGCAGTTGCTTAGCATGAGAAACAGTAATGTCATGCTCCCAACCTGCATTATGATTACCTTGTGGCTTGTAGAGAGAGAGAAATTGCAGAGCTCCACAGAGCCCAAAAATGTCAGTGTCACAAGGTAAGTGATGAACTCTGGGCTTCATGAGGAGCTCAGAGCCAGCCACGGTCCTTCACAGCCATTTGCCCACCATGGGTTAATTTCTGTAGAGTGTCAACTTTGTCACAGTTGCAACAGTCTCTCTGGTTTCCTGTAGGCAGCAGTGAATCATACCAGTAAATGAACACTTACTTATAGGTGCATTTCTCTGGTATCCCAGAGCAATTTTCCCAGGCTTCAAAATGACATTTGAGATGAAAACAGATAAAGAATGAAGCCGGGTAGTGGCTGTGGTGACATTGATGATACTGATAGCTGCTGCAGAGTAATTCTTTCCCAAGAGGGAAAAGCAGAATGAGGCTAAAACTAGAACATACACACCTCATCTTACAGCTCATCACCAAGCTCCTCCTTGCAGGGATTCTGTCCCTCAAACCATGTATATCACAGTTACACCAATACTGTGGTTTTCCAATCCACAACGCAGTCCTGAGGAAAAGCGCTGCCTAATTTACTGTCAAGTAGCAGGAAATGGGAAGGAAGATTTGCTCTGACCAACACCTCTGGGTAATCAACTGCACACTGCATCTCCTGCTGAAACAGCATCTTCCAGAGATAGAGCAGAAAGACAAAGAACTGTTTACTGTGTGTTAGAACTGGCAAACTAGGGCCCTGCTGAGGTCTCATGATTTAGGGTGTTAAGATTTCGCTTGACCATGACTTCAGACAAGAGAAAAAAATGTCCTCAGACACTTGAGACGAGCTGGAATTATCCTAGACTCTGAGGTTCCTGATTGCTATGAATGGGTTCGTGTCACCTCACATTTGTGGTCTTGGTGCAGATACCAATGCTGGAACAGGGAATCTGAGAGTGGGCTAAGGGGGAGAAGTTGGGGAGATGGGGTGGAGAGAAAGATGGAAATGTGAGCGGGCCATTCTGAGTGATTCAGTGAGGCAACATGAGAGGGTGTTAAGACAGGATACAGGAATTCTGGAACTGTGCTGTTTTATCTCTCTGCTCATCACTGTGAGGGTGAGAATAGCTCTGACTCCGGTCATCGTGCCGTGCTTATTTCTGTTAGGGGAATTACTTCAAGGCAGGAGCTGAAAATTACCTTCTTTTGGGTAAGCACTGTATTGCTGCTGTAGAAGTGTGATGATACCAATAAAAAGAGCAGGCCAGGTTTTTCTGCCTGTTCTGTGATGGTTTTGCAGAGGCAGGCCATGTGGGCGATTAATAAAGTGTAGCAGATCCTCACAGACACTGTCACAGTTCCCTCTGGAATGTGTGTGGTAGCTGATGCAGCCTCAAGCAGAGATGGGCTGCCTGAGAGCTGCTGAGGAGGTCACTGCAAGAGCTTGACTTTGCCCCTTGGGCCTCTGATGGGACATGTGTCATGACACCACTCCCACCTGATGGGATAGCATAGCGACCACAGCCTTGAGTCAGAATGCAATGGTAGGACTGGAAGGGAAGGAGATTTCCTCATCCATTGCCTTCCAAAAGACCTGTTTCTTGCTTCCATACCCAGCTGCTTATTGACTCTAGGATCTAACATCAAAGCTTGAGTATTCCCTAAAGACATTGTTACACTTATGGATATAGACTTCTGGATTTGCTGATGTTCTGTTCCAATCATGTGGCACTTAGGGCACCAATTCTAAGCAACAGTAGAAGGCTGGAATTTGGAATATTATGTGCATAAAGATATGATATTTTCAATTAAAATTTTCTGTTGGTGCAAAGGAATAAAGGAAAT